TGACTGAAAATTGTATACCTGGATTATTGAGCAGGGACTTTTTTGGTTAATTGATTTATTGTTTATCACGACAGGCCTACTCATCAACAAACTATTGTACATGGATCCAAAGCACGGTCAATGGCCCGGTCAAGCAAAGACTTTTGTTTTATTCAACTTTGACCTTGATTTGTGGACTTGACCTTGAAACTGGGGCAATGAAGAGTAAAGGTGACAATCCAAACACACATGCATTAAACGAGAAAGTTTCGTTCAGTTATCTTGAGCGGATCAGAAGTTATGAGTGGAACAACAGAACGTTTACATACACACGGGCAGAGACTACAGAATACGTTCACTTTTTGACAAGCATACAAAAATATGGTATACCGTATTTTCCTGCGTATAAATCGCATTTTGCATAGATTTGTCAGTCCTGTGATTTATACGCCGAAGCAACTTGTGTATTTTTTTTCCATTTCCATAACGCAATTTTTGACTCTGGCAGCGATGGACGGACGGATGGTGCCACGCCGCCCATGCGCCTTATGCGCCGAAAATACTTGCAGTATATATGCTTTTTCCCTACTTGTGATGCTTTTTGACTGATGCGACTTAAAATAAATAAATACGGTACTTTCTGCTGTTTTCACAGATTAGTAGTTAAAGATAAAAAGTTCTGAGACAATATTCTGACTGAACGAGTCCGTTGGGACAATAAAAATGGCCAGTTTATTCAGCAGGAAGCTACCTGCCTTAAATGATGGCTTGGTTTGTGCCTCGAGCACCCAGACTCGGCAGAATGGATCAGATCTCAGGGATTATTCTCGGGCATGTTACGTTGGTATGGTCTTTTAATTTGGACGTTTGGAGTGGACCGACACCGACTCAAGGCAGATGTCATTAAAGTTCTGTCTGTCCCCAAAACAACCGTGTTTATCTGAATTCGTCTCCCTGACTGGCCTTGACAGGCCGTCTTATCTCAACCCGCCTGGAAGTTTTGTCAACATGATGCTTCCCCCCCCTCCCTCCCCTCCTACTGAGGAATTTCCATGGACTTTTCAGAGGAACCCAGCTGAATAAACATTCTGTCATCATTTCAGGATTCTGGATTCGTCTCTGGTCGTCCTTGGTACCCCAAGTGTGCACGGATCTCTCCAGAGGGAACTATTTGAACTGAGTGATTTTATCTGAACTCTGCAGAGCCTCTAATGTCGGCGTCATTATGTGCTAGTGCGCAAGATGTTTTTTCATTATCACACTGTTGACCTTCAAACAGAGGTCAAAAGTGTGTTAGGAATTTTTTTTGTCCCCAAACCCATGTGTCATTTTTCACCACTTTTCATCGTCTGTCCAGACAGATCTCACTTGTAAATGAGTCTTTGAGGCTCAATGTGACTTATCTGTTTAAATAAAGGTAGAATGAATTTTAATACCCTGTCAGCGAGCGGCAGGAAGCTGGTGAAGGTGGCGACGCTCGCCACCTTCACCATGACCGAGGAGACGAGGCGCCTGTTCGTCCCTGAAACCTCCATACACAGCAGGCGATCCTCCAAAGACTTCAGATCTGGAACATCCTGAAAAACCAACGAACGTTATTTGATCAAAACTGATTTTATTTTACACCAGAATTTTTAAAGTGTTGATTGACTCACAATGTTGCTCAGTTGCATCAAACTTCTGTACATGGACTCCTGCGAAAACATTAAATATCTTAAAACATGGTGATGTTTACTCGGGAAATTTGTCATTTTGATTGTAAAAATATAAACTTTGTGATTGTTCAAAATCAACTTGCCCCACCGTAAATTGTCAAACGCAGCAATATTTTCATATCAATACAGTTCAATGTCTTATATTACAGATTTTATTGATCCACTCAGAATTGAAAATCTGTGTACAGATCTCCTTTTTCTGCCTGTCCAACTTCACGTGGCCACCTCCCTCACTGCTGCTCCACACACGCTAACCAACGTCGTGAAGGCGGCACAGCCGAAGAGGATTATTATTTAATATATGTAAATAAATAGTGGTGCACCGGTTTCAGTTTTCTGGATGATCACCAATCACAGATTTCTAAAAAGTCTGACCTGCCGATTCTGATTTTGTTTTATAAGCGACGCTGTCAGGTGTTATAAGGTCACAACGCACCTTCAATTTTCCAATATTATTTTGTTGAAAAACAGACCCTTGAACAATATCCTAGAAACAATACAAACTTGTTTTAACTGACCATGAGGTAGTACTCTGAAATATAAATGAAGTTTAGACAATTGTTGTTAAAACAAAAAAAAAATCAGTAAAATCGGTTTCTCTTGCGAGTATCGGCCGATAAAGCACCGATAAATCGGAGGGCCAATAATTAAATGTCTAAAAAACAAACTTTAATGTATGTAAATAAGTTATTTTTTAGACATTTTTGTAGTTAATAAATGTGCCTGTGTGACAACTGGGACAAAGCTTTGACTCAGAAATATATTTTTGTTACTTTATGGAAAGAAAAAAATTGAGATATATATCGTGATTTATCTTAAAATATCGATATTAATTTTGGTCCGTATCGCCCAGCCCATTTAGAAATGTGGGGAAATTATGATAATGAATTATGAGTGTTTCGTGCGGTGCTAAAGGACAACTCGTCCTGTCGTAATCATCCTGCCTCGAAACTTATCACCTCCATCCATGACAGACGGAGTCCAGAAGAGGCAGGTCTATCTGCAGATGAAGAACAACGCCTCCTCCGACAGATAACAGCAGCTAATGTTGGTGTGTGTGCATAGCACTTTAAATAAGGATGAGAACAACGCAGTTACGCTGATGACACTGTACTGGTCGTTCTGGGAAAGCTTAATGATTTAGTGCTCGTCTGTGTTTGAACTCCATGTGAGTAAAGCTGGTTGAATCTTCACCTCCCTGTGAGTCTGTGGTCATCGAGTGGGACTCTTCATTATGAAGTACGTACATCCTCAAAGCATTGAACATGGAAGACTGGATGCTTCTCAATCAAGTGACTCCGACTTTAAACTCTGGTTTTCGTACCTCACTGGATCTTGGGAGTATGTTCTTCAAGACAAAATGTGCGCTGAGAACACAGCCTTTCAAACAAACTGGACTTCTGATGTGATCCTGAAGGAATCTGAAGCCATCATCCCAGCTGTTCAAACACAAAAAGGCCTGCAGATAAAAAAAACAACATAAAAGTCACGACACACAAGTTAAATTATAAACTAAAGCTTTATTTTATATCAAATTTGGTAAAACAACAAGCTCTCGTTAGTCTTTACCCTCCTCTGCAGCGGTAAAACCATCACGTTGCAGTACAGAGAGTGAAGGTTCTGCTCAGGAAAATAGTTCCACACCAGTTTGACCAGGTCCGTGTGCGTGTAGGCTGCAGTCGGTAGACCCGTCAGCATGACGACGGGAAACGTCATTCTTTGTTTAACGAGCTACAGGAACATTTGTTATGAAGAAAACAGAAACAGAAAGATCTCGGCGCTTTACTTCAAGCAACAGAGAATAAATGTGACTTCAAGGAGGTCGTGAGGAAATTAAAAAAAAGATTTGATTCTGAATCTTATGTTTATTGTGATGAATGCCATTTAAAATTTAGCATTTCAATACAAAAAAGTCCTTACCGTTAAGTGCTCCATCTTGCTGACCGTGATAAATTCTAGAAGAAAACAAAAACTGGTTTATATCGACATATTTCCAGTTTGATCTCGTCATTAAATAACTTCTTCTTCACATGTTTATGAACATATAATGAAAGGTAACATTTCTCTTGTCCAGTGGCTCTGGGTGGTACTGAATATTCATCGACCTTACCGCAGAAGGAATTACTTTAATAATAGCGGTACACCACCAACACTGTTTATAGTAGGGGTGTTGTGCTGCTGACCTCAACTAGGGATGTCGTGGGTCAGTGGGCAGAATACTTTGAAGACCTCCTGAATCCCACCGGCACGTCTTCCACTGAGAAAGTGGAGCCTGGGGACTCTGGGTAGGGCCCTCCAATCTCTGGTGCTGAGGTTACCGAGGTGGTTAAAAAGCTCCTTGGTGGCAGGGTCTCTGGGGTGGATGAGATTCGCCTGGAGTTCCTTATGGCTCTGGATGTTGTAGGGTTGTGTTGGCTTACGCGACTCTGCAATATTGAGTGGACATCGGGGGAAGTTCCCCTGGATTGGCAGACCGGGGTGGTGGTCCCCTCTATTCAAAAAGGGGTACCGTAGAGTGTGTTCCAACTAGAGGGGGATCACGCTCTTAAGCCTCCCTGGTAAGGTCTATTTGGGGTTTCTGGAGAGGAGGGTCCGTCGGATTGTCCAACCTCGGATTCAGGAGGAGCAGAGTGGTTTTCGTCCTGGTCGTGGAACACTGGACCAGCACTACACTCTCAGCAGGGTCCTGGAGGGTGCGTAGGAGTTAGCCCAATCGGTCTACATGTGCTTTTTGGACTTGGAGAAGGCGTTTGACTACGTCCCTCAGGGAACCCTGTGGGGGGTACTCTGGGAGTATGGGGTACCGGGCCCTTTGATACGGGCTGTTAGGTCCCTGTATGACCGGTATGAGTTTTCTCCGCAGGGTGTCTGGGCTCTCCCTTAGAGATAGGGTGAGAAGCTCGATCATCCGGGAGGAACTCAGAGTAGAGCCGCTGCTTCTCCACATCGAGAGGAGCCAGTTGAGGTGGCTCAGGCGTCCGTTTAGGATGCCTCCTGGACGCCTCCCTGGTGAGGTGTTCCGGACACGTCCCACCGGGAGGAGACCCAGAGGAAGACCCAGGACACGCTGGAGGGACCATGTTTCTCGGCTGGCCTGGGAACACCTCGGGATTACCCCGGAGGAGCTGGACCAAGTGGATGGGGAGAGGGAAATCTGGGCCTCCCTACTTAGGCTGCTACCCCCGCGACCCGACCCCGGATAAGCGGAAGAAAATGGATGGATGGAGGAACAAACTCTCGGGTTTTGTCCGAATGTGCAGCAGAACTGCTCTACAGAACCTCACTGATCGACAGAACCTCATTGACCTACACAAAATGAAGTCAGAGAATAAGGCCAGGATGATTCTGGCAGATCCTGTTCACCACTCCATGGTGAGTTCATGTTGCCTCCATCTGGACGCAGGCATCTACTGCCCAGATGTAGAACGAACAGACTGAAAAACTCATTTATCCCTGTAGAGATCAGGCTTCTCAACGAACGGTGATGATTTCTGTTACTTTAACGTTTCAATGTCTTGTCTAGTATGGATGTTTTGTGTGCCTACTACTGACTGAAACAAATTGTACTTTAAGGATAATAAAGATTCTTGAACTTGAACAAAGACCTTAGTTTAACTTTGACTTTGATTTGTGACCATGACCTTGAAGGTGGGGTGATAAAGTGTATGTGACACTCCGACGTGGAGGAGTAGCGGTTCTACTCCAAGTCTCTCCTGAATAACTGAACTTCTCACCTTATCTCTAAGGGAGAGTCCAGCTACCCTGTGGAGAAAACTAAGTTCAACTGCCTGTATCCAAGATCTAATTCTTTCGGTCACTACCCAGAGCTCATGACCATTGGTGAGGATAGGAATGTAGACTGACCGGTAAACAGAGAGCTTTGTCTTACAGCTCAGCTCTCTCTGCACCACAACGGACCGCTACAGAGTCTGCAATACTGCAGATGCTGCACCAGTTTGTCAATCTCACGCTCCATTCTTCCCTCACTCGTGAATAAAACCCCGAGATACTTGAACTCCTCTACTTGAGGCAAAACCTCACCCTCGACCTGAAGAGAGCAATCCACCCTTTTCCAGTTGAGGACCATGGCCTCAGATTTGGAGGTGCTGATTCTCATCCCAGCCACTTCACACTCGGCTGTGAACCGCTCCAGTGAGAACTGGAGATCACGGCACGATGAACCCAACAGGACCACATCATCTGCAAAGAGCAGAGATGGAATCCTGAGGCCACCGAACCAGAAACCCTCCACCAGCTGGCTGCACCGAGAAATTCTGTTCATAATAGTTATGAACAGAATTGGTGACAATGGGCAGCCCTGGTGGAGTCCAACTCCCACCCTGAAGGGGTCCGACTTACTGCCGGCAATGTGAACCAAACTCTTACACCGCTTGTATAGGGACTGAACAGCCTGTAACAACGGTCCTCCAATCCCATACTCACAGAGCACCCCCCCCCCCCCCCCCGCCCACAGTGTATCCTGAGGAACACGGTTGAATGCCTTCTCCAAGTCTACAAAACACATGTAGACTGGATGGGCAAACTCCCATGACCCCTCAAGGACCCTAGTGTGGGTAAAGAGCTGATCCAGTGTTCCACGGCCAGGACGGAACCCACGTTGTTCCTCCTGGGTTTGAGGTTCGACCAACGATTGGACTCGCTTCTCCAATACCCCTGAATAGACCTTACCAAGGAGGCTAAGGAGAGTGATGCCCCTATAATTGGAGCACACCCTCCGGTCCCCCTTTTTGAAGAAGGGAACCACCACCCCAGTCTGCCAGTCCAGTGGCACTGCCCCCGATGTCCACGCAACATTGCAAAGGCATGTCAGCCAAGACAGCCCCACAATATCCAGAGCCTTAAAGAAATCAGGGTGAATCTTATCCACTCCCGGAGCCCTGCCGCCTCTGAGATTTTTAACTACCTTGGCAACCTCAGCCACGGTTATGGACAAAAGTCCCTTAGTTTAAAAAAATGCTACATTTTCAATTTATTTATTTAACAATAAAAGTATTTAATTTATGGCATCTTTTGGAAAAGGGCATTTTCCCCCTCTCAAGAACATAAAAAACCCAACAACATGTGAACCTCAAGCTTATTGATCAAACAAAACAATAAAATAAAACGCTGACACAATAAAATGTGCAACTACTATTTCTTGGCTGAAGTGGACAGTCTTTGAGATCCGCCTTTCCTACTTGTTAGCGCTCCTGAGACAAAATCTTTGTGGGATAATTACCTTGGCGCTACTTGATGGACAACACCATCGCACACCTAGATGTGCCTCGTGTTAAACGTTCACCAATCAAACCAGTCATGTCTCACCAGAACCACTATCAGAAAGCCATGTAGAGATTCATGACTTCCTGTTTCTAATTGATGTCCTGTTGGTAATGTTGTTTGTCAACTGGTCAAAGTGCCAGAAAGTTTATACGTGACAAAACACTAAGGAAGAAAAAATTTAAAGTGCCAGTACTGAGTACCAGAGAGTACCAGTCCACTTCAAGTGCTGGACATGTTGATCAGGACCAGTCACAATACTGAGGGACTTTCTCTTGAATCTCTCCTTAAAAATGGACTGAAAGGAGGGAGGGAGACCCCAAAGAGTCTTTCAGCCATTCTTCACTGCAGGTTGCAGGACTGTCCAGTCATTCACTGAGCACACAATTTTTAGTTTACATTCTCGCTGGTTATTATGCATTTAAATCCTGCTGGTCTCACAATGCTGTGTCAGTGGTCCTCAATCCTAGACCTTGAGGGCCACTATCATGCACGTTTTAGTTGTTTAACAACTAAACCATCAAACTAGTCACAGTTAGTTCACATGTGTTTCTCTTACCTGGGATGTTGAACCAAGGACATGCAGTAGAGAACACATAAGGACTAGTAGTCATGGTAATCCAAAATGGTGCAACGGAGCCCTCTGGAACGCCAGTTGTTGTCGTTGGGATGTGGGCCCTGGCTATAATGTTGCTTGTGTCTGGTAAGGCTTGTGCTACCAGGCTCGGACCTGCACAAAAAAGTGTGTTTAAACTGTAGTAAATATTTAATGTTGTAAAATCTTTTGCAAAAATTTAACTTTTTCCAGACTTTACACTTGGTGTGCCGACGCCTAACCCTGATGTTCCGACAGACGTAACGACC